TCCCTCCCTCCCTCCCTCCCTCCCTCCCTCCCTCCCTTCCTTCCTTCCTTCCTTCCTTCCTTCCTTCCTTCCTTTTTCATTTTTTTCCTGTTTGTTTTCAAAAGAGAAATAGTGGAGTTGAATATGTAGGGAGGTGGGGAGAATCTGGGAGGAGATGAGGGAGGGGAAACCATGATCAGAATATATTGTATAAAAATTATTTTCAATTAAGAAAAGAAATTTCCGGGGAGGGCATCAGTGGCTGGTGGCACATCTGGCTGACCTTTCACCTTTATTTGTCCTACAGGTCTAGGGACATCAGGTCACTTGGCAAGATGACCCTGTTTCTTTTTCCTGTAGTCACACAGCTAGACTACATTTTTAAGTCATCCTGTTGTATGGTGCCAAGGGATTAACTATGAATGGCTAAATGTCCACAGCCTAGCTAGTGTAAACGTGCTGGATAATTCTGCAGGCTCTTTCCTGTGGTCTTTGCCTTTTAATGTCACTCAAAGTATGTACATTCTGATGATGACATCCATGATGGCACTTCTTTCACTGTAGGACAGAAGCACACAACCACAGCTGTAATAATGTCCATCTTGTGAAAAACAGAAACTTTTCCTTGTTCAGTGATGCATACCTTTCCAAAAGTGATCACTTCTTTTTGTTGGAGATTTTGTGATTTAATTAAAGCATGGCGGCAGATTTAAGAGGGTCCTGGTTAAAAAAAATCAGGATTTTATGTAAAAAATAATGTTTTTAATGAATTTTGTTATTTTCCATTAAGATGTCTGATCACTTTTTTTTCCTTTCTGTTAGCTGAGTCTTCTGTGAAAATCTGTGAAGGCACATCTGCTACATCACCTCTTAGCCACTCAGGGACACCCTGTTACTACTTCTGGCTCCATCTCTGGAAAAAAAGAAGGGAGGAGTCATTCTTTTGTGGCTGGAGTTCTGTCCTCCTCCTTTTCACTGAGCTTGCTAGAAGCATGTGTGTTTGGGGATGCTGGTAGGGGGTGACGCTAGAGTAACAGTAAATGGCTGAAACTGCAAAGAAGGGAAGTCCCCAAGCATCAGCTGACAGTTTCAGAATGCTTACATTGTACCATGGATTTAGACTGTGTGAAGGTCTGTGAGACAATGTCATCAAGAACTGACATCAGAGGACCACAGTTATTCAGTTAAGTGTAGCAAGGTTAAGATATCACCAGAGTTGGCCCCTGTTAGGATGACTTTACTGGGTTCCCGGAACTTCTGCTTCCTTTCAGATTGGGCCAGGAGGCTGCTGCCACGTAGGGGAGGGGCAAACGGGGACAGACCCATTGATCCCTGAGATATCTCATGTACCTTGGCCTGGCGTGGTAATAATGGCATGTGGTGGGTTCTTGTATTTAATGAAAAGGATCTCTGTTAGGAGTGGAACTTTGCATAGAGTTCTGTGTGCCATCATTGGTGACAATCAAGAGCCTACAATGGATTGTGATAGCATTCTATCATTAGCATTCACCGTTTCTAACCAGGCACTAGATGACTTGATCAGAGATCAAGGGACACATATAGATAGCATCCTCTTGTCACAGAGTAGCTCTGCTTCTGTGATCTCCGCACAGGGCCGCTTGGGGTTTGCACGTCCCAGGTAGAGATGTTGCTTGGCATAGCCTTCCAGGGTTATAACTGGCTCCAAAGGTGAGCTGGTCTCCGTCTGTTGCTGAGTCAGTGCTTCTGCTTCTGAAACCTCAAACCATGTCACTTTCCCCAGAGCACCGTGGCTCTGGGGAGCCCCACCTGTACCGCTACAACCTTCTGAAAGCGATTGGTTCTTTTAGAACTACTTTTTTCAACATTGCCTCACAGCTGTGATTATTAACTGTTACCTCCCCTACAGGATGGCATTGCCCGAGAGTCAAAGCATTTCATGTATGCTGGAAACACCGACTTCAGTGGAGCTTCACTCAGAACAAAACAACAGACCACACAAGACCACACAGACGCAGAGGCTTGATCAGGAGTGATCAGCTGAAAAATTTATCAGACATGCAGGTGTTTCACTTATTTCAAACCTGTTGCAGCTTTTAACAGAATATTCAAAGGGGGTTGCTTAGGGCTCTGCTGGGGGTGGGTGGACTTCCTTTTATGCAAGTGTTGAGAGCTGTTACTTTTGAGAGACATTGCTCCTCTTTTAACTGTGTGACATAGCTGTGAGGAAGTACATCTCTTAGAACAACATTTATCCAACCAGTCCACCTTACCAAGGTCAAGTCAGTTGTATTCTAGTAAGCTATTTGGTCAAAACACACTCTGAGTCTTTTCTTCAAAATCACCTTTCACTTATGGCAGATATGGGAGACACAAGAGTTTTTACTGAGACGATAACTCATCGTTTACTGGAAGAAAGAGAACTTTGTAAGCCAGAATCTACAGGACCTTATTCTTAAACTTCCAGCTTTCTTTCCTCTCCACCCTCTCCTTTATGCCCTGTCTGTGAAGAAAAGCACCAGGAGAGACTTTTATTTTCTTTTTCTTCTTTTAATTTGTTCAGCATCGAAGGAGGGAAGGTCATAAACATTGATTGTCATTTACAGGAAACATTCAGAAATCATGTGTGCATTATCTGGGAATGCTAACAGTATTCAACTAATAATTTACAGGACATAAAATAAGGACAAACCCCATTACATTCTAAAGTAATATAGAACTCTCTTTAGTTGTTAGGGGGTGCTGCTTTAATCTATTATATTTATAATTAAAAAAAAATTCAATGCTTACTTTCTAAATGACTCAGGCTGCAGATTTACTCACATACACAGAAATTAGGGCTTATATATTAAACAAAGAGAGAGAGAGAGAGAGAGAGAGAGAGAGAGAGAGAGAGAGAGAGAGAGAGAGAGAGATCAGAAAATTGTAGATTTAAAAACTACATATATGACTGGGTTTATTTGTAGTTTGCCTTTTTGCCTCTACAGGCTGGTAAGAATATATGGTAATAGCATAATTCAGCTTCCGAAAAACCAGTGGTTGACTACAGGAGGCATTGCTCGTTTTTAAAGGTATACTTAGCTTTTCAGAATGAATGCTTTTATTTTACATACTTGCGGGAATGCAACGTTGGGGCACTGCCAACAGTGGCGTGCATGCTAAGGAGGAGCAAGCTGTACCTTCTGCACTGCTCCTCAGGTGCAGCTGTGGAGTAGGCACAGCCACGCCCCAGACAGTCCTTGGCTTCACCTCTGGACTCAGTGGCTCTGGGCCTTGTACTGTAGGCTGGAGCTGTGGCAGAAGCATTAAATCTCAGAACATCAGAAGGAAAGGAAAATCATTTATCTCAATCCTAAAAGCAAGGAAGCATTGTCAGGGATTTCAAAAATATTGGAAAGTCTCATTTAAATCTAAATATCTTTTTATTTTATAAATCGATCATCATAAAATACTAGCCTTTTAAAGTCATATTTGGGATGCAGGAAAAACATCAGTTTCACTGGCCCTGCTCTCGTCTATGTTGTTTACCACATCTCAGCTTTTTCCCTACTTCTCAGTCTCTCCCCAACCCTCCCCCAGCTTCTTTACAACATTTATTTGGTGGAGGTCAGTTATGGCTTCAGCAAATGAGTGGTCTGACCTCAAGTCATTAATAAGAAATAAACACGTACAAAAATATTTTGTTCATCAGAAAGCAGGGTTTGTTTTCCTTAAGCTAGTCCATGCAGAATGGATTTGGACAGAGCCATTTGCTAGGAGTCAAGACGATTTCACTTAGACAACAGTCTCTTTTTAACCATCCCTTTTTCCTATTGTCTAGTTCAGCTGGAGTTTAGGTCTTAGGCCAGTCTTCAACACTGAATTCTTTGGAGCAGTTAGTTGACAGCCCTGTCCCTTTCCTAGTTGTATTACAAAAAGAAGCAGATACTTAACACCAATGACCCACCAAGATGCTTAAACCTTTACAACCGGTTTCCATTTAAAAAACTGAGAGGTACATAAACACTCAGAAAGGAAGCAAGTACATATTTTATCTTTGTTGTTTACCCCCCTCTACAAAATTGTTACAAAGTCTTATGCTTAAACAGAGACATAGAAAAATCAGTGTATTCACTGTCTCTAGTTATTTACAGCAAAAATTACAGAGACAGCATACATTGTATTAGACCTTCCACAAGCATATATTAAAAGTAATTACATTTGAAAAAATATTTTTTATTTTTCCTCTACATTTCTACAATACATACTCAGTTTTCTGTGGGTGTAGTTTCCATTCTTGGGTGTGTGTTAATGGGATGAAGCAAACGGTGCTGTGCTTGGGTGTGGGGCTTGTGGCTTTCAGACATTCCTCATGAGTGTCTATGTACAGCTGTGCTGGTGACGTGAGACTGTTCACCATTAGCCACAGCCAGAGAATAAGTGATGTGACCCTCATGCTGTCAACAGGGGTGCAGACAACCTGTGTTTCCCAGAGTTGGGCTTTATTTCATTCCAGTAATCTTTGTGCTTTAGTTCTGGCTGTGAAGACAACCACTAGCCTGGTCTCTCTGATCCACTGGAGGTTGTGCTTTGGTCATGCAGGAAGCAACGGTTGCTGTGACCAGTTCACCTCAGAGGAATTTCAGCAGCTTCAGGGGAAAAAGTGCCAGCCAGCCCTACCTGCTGTGTAGGAACCTGTGACCTGCACTTCAGAACAAGAGGGCAAGGCTATCTGGATGGCAGAATAAATTGCTCAGAAATGTATAACTAAGAGAAAGTGAGAAAGTGTCACAGATTTTTGAAGCCATACATTTAAGGACACACGTACAGGCTCTATACATCTGAGTTTCCGAAAAAACAAAAAACAAAAAACAAACAAAAAACAAACAAACAAAAAAGACAAGAAATCTAGTTCTTTCAGCTCTTCCACAGTGGGGCTTGGCAGGACACGTGGGAGTGGCTTTTGTAAGCCATCATTCAACTGATTGGCCTCTTCCTTTCGATTGCTATTTGGTTCGAGCCACTTGTTGCTCTATCTTTGAGCAGTGGTGGGTAAATATCGAAACTCAATTGAGAATGAGAGGCAAGATCTCTCCTCTCCCCAGTGTACTCACATCATTCTAACACCACCCTCCATCAAATCTGGCCTGACTGGCTCTCTAGATGTGATTTTTTATATCAACTAGAGGCGGCAAGCTGGCAGTCTGTGGACCTCTTCTGCTCAGAGATGTGTTTGTTTGGTCTGTACTATGCTCAGCGATGACTGTCATCATTTACAACCCGAGACAGCTTACGTAACTCAGAAGCACTGTCAGCATGCAACCTCGGTTGAATGTTGGCTGTCGTATTGCAGGTAGGGCATTTCCTTGCTAGCTTACTACGACTGCAAGGCTATTTACATGCACTCCTTGCCATTTTTTTGGGGGGGGCGGGAGTTGAGTTTTCATCTGTTGATTTGAACAGGCAGGCACCTCTGGTTCTGAAACATACTCCCCTCAAAAAGAAAAAGGGTTATTTATCAGCCTGTTTCCAAAAGAGGCCAGGGCTCCCCATACCAGGCCTTTCTTCTGGTATGCATGTACCAGCAGTTGCAAATGGAGCATCAAACAGCACTTTGTCTTGGTGGCATTTCCCTCCTCTTTATAAGGGGACTCTGTAGACATTTCCCTCAGGTGCATACATAAAAGCTGTATCTACCATTTGGTGCTTGTCAGAGCAGAGACATCCTTGCCTGAACCTACTGCCCTTTGTGGTAATTTCACTAGAAGCAAGAGTTAATACAGGGAAAAAAAAAAAAAAAAAAAAAAAAAGAGCCAGGGAAAATGATTTGGACAGCAGCCAAAAATGCCCTGCTTCTGGAATAAGGAGAAACTAAGAGTGTGGAATGGCGCTGATGTTACTTGCTTCTGGTGTTTTTGAAAAAAAAAAAAGGAAGAAAACAAAAACAAACAAACAACAAAACAGGAACATTTTCGGCTATCCACGGGCCCTAAGAGTTATTTCAGCATTTGAGCCTCTTATGCACAGCATTATAGTGAGGCAGTGGGAGCTGGCTATGAATCTTCAAGGCTTCCTCCAAATAGTTCAGCCTGACTGCTGGGAAGTAACCTGCTCGAGAAGGCAGCCTTGATGGAAATGCCCTGATGTCCCCTGTTGCCTCTTGTTAACATCCAGTGGGGTACAATCTAGAGTCTCCCAGCTACTGCCAGAGGAATAGAATCACTGAAGACGGCAGTAGTCTCTGCTTTTTGCTTAGAGGTACTTTAGCTCAGAGCCCTGAAGAAAGTATTAAGAAAAAGAAAATGCAGAAAGTGTGCTTGGAAAGTATCTCCTGACCTTTAACGTTTAATCTGGGAACAAAAGAGCCCCAGAAAAACTGACACCAAGATAGGCCAAGTCACAGACAGCATGGCCATTCGTAACTGTCAACCCAGATTTGAAATCCCTCACTTTCCTTCCAAACTTCGCCTTTCTTTCTCCAGAGTACAGATGCACTGGAGCTGTCATTCACTCAGGCTGTCAGCTCTGCCCACTGACAGTTCCATCCCTGCATTTCTTTTGCTAACAACTTACACAAGAAGCCTGGATTAACTGGGAGATAAGTGTGGCAGCCTGGTTGTTTTGTTCTTTGCTCATTTTAGAGAATGGAACTAATGTGTTTACTTGTGTAGAACTTTTAGGCAGGTCCCAAGAAAAAAAGCAGTTCCTTCATTTTCTGAGACGAAGCCACTGTGCCTGGCCTGAGGCCTGTTAGAGAGGGTCTCTCACTGGCATGTTCAACTTCTGCCACTTAGGTTTCATTGGCATCTTTCTGTTTATCCCTTCCCCCTTCTCGATGAATATTTTGTTAATGAAGCATCCCTGAGCAGATTCAGTGCAACATCTGCATCCAGCAGTGATTGTCATCCTTGAGGCATGGAGGAGACTACAGACCCCAGATCCTTCTTCCAGCGCATACCTCAGCCTACCACATTTTGCACATTGGCCAGTTCTCAGGAGAAGGAACAGCATGCTGAGACTGTGTGTGGTAAAGGGAGTTTTTTTTTTTTTTTTTCCCTACTGAAATTTCCTGTAGTCACTGAGATGTTCAAAGGGCAGTGTTTAAAGGCTTTCTTAACCATTAAAAACATGACATGATTCTCTTTTAAAGGAAAAGTTGGCAACTGCAGCCAAAATTGGAGCTCTCTCCTCTGGCTGGAAAGTGGGCTGTGCCTGTACTGGTCACCACTGTATGGTTCTGATTCCAGTTCCTAGCCGACTCCTGTCCCTTTGCTTCAAAAGGTTCACACTGTCCCAGTGAGATGCCAGCACTAGTGGAAATGACACAATTTCGAAACCAATGCCCCCTACCCAGGCAAATGTGGGGAACAATCTTTTTCCTACACCACCTGTGGAGCAGAGGAGGAGAAAATTCTCAGCAAATCCTCTAAGGTAACTGGAGGCAACCAACAATTCCCTTTGCAGCAGAGCAGGATTTACAGGCTGACAATGGGAAACACTGAGCCAACAGAACAATGAAAACAAAGTTTGACAAGAGTTCAAAGCTCAAAGGGGACCGCCAAGTAGACACAGTAAGCATTGCCTATCGCAAGCCAATCATAAAACATACATCGCATTTGGAAGCAGCTTGGCTTAATTGAGTGCCTTCCATTACCCTGTTTTCCTAGCAATCAGAAAAGTATCTTTCCATTAGAAGGAAATATGACTCTTGGAATTAATTCTTTATACAAAGAGCTAGCAGGAGTGACATTTAGACCAAAAAGAACTGAGTCCCTGTAGCAGCATAATAAGCAGTCTACAGCTGTCTTCTCAGAACCAAAGGTAATTTGGTTCAATGTAGTTAAATTAATTGAATATAACAGTGGTTGAAAAAGAGATTCATTATTTTAAAGCCTTTTTGTTTTCCCCCAATGGCTTGGAATTCATCAATCATGAGGTGAGAAAAGCCCGTTTTCTGAAAGGAAAGACTAACAGGACTGTTTTGATCATCCACCAGAGTTCTGGGGCATTTCGGAGATGACTCTCAACCGAGAACTTCAGGAGAACGTAAGAGATTTAAAACAAACAAGCAAGCAAACAAACAAACAAACAAACAAAAACCCCAAAGTTTCTATTAATGGAGATTTACAGATGTGTGTGTGTGTGTGTGTGTAAGGAGAAAAGGGCAGGTTTTTATAAGCTAGGGGCTATGCTACACTTACAGTACAACATAGCTTTTGATGTCTTATACACAAATGTGTCCCCTAGCTGCCTCTTTGAAAATCTTAGTTTGGACTAGATCAGACTAAAGGCCTAGGCCTTACAGAAACCGGAAGAACAACTGGCTCCAAGCTCATGCTTTTCTGGTGCTTAATTTCATAGGAATTAGGGTGAAGAGCCTGTATAGGTCACCCTTACATTCTGTTCTTTTTAAGTGGTTACAAAATGACCAATATGGATAGAGGATGTCATTTAAATCTGTGTAGGAAAGAATTTTGGCTTTGGGATACATCAGTCTCATAGACAAAACATTTATTTTTTTCTAATCTTTTGGATTTTTGCTCTATTTTTATAATACAGCATTTTGAAGCTGAAAAAATTGGAGGCCCCAGGCTCTAGATGGCTTTCTCCTTTCTATTAGCCTGTTTTCTAACAAATGATAATGAGTTTGAATTTAATGAATGACTTCTTTACTTTGTATGTTCTATTTCTTTCAGTTCTTTGGAAAAAAAATGATTAGAAAATGTCTATCCAAAATGGCACTGGGACCTTGTTTTATACTTCTAGTCAAATATTTCTAAAAACATTGATGGTAGTCATAATCTATAGACTGATTTTTTCCTTTTTTGTTAAAGAAATAATAAGCATCAAAGTCAAATATCTTTCACAATTGAAAATCTGAATCCAAAGGGGGGAAAAACCTAATATTTTGTATTCTGGTGAAAAATAGAAAATATTATTGTCTGGTTTACAGTCTGATTTGTGAAACAGGAAAATGGCTTCAAATCCTTTTGCCCCCGCCCCCATATGCAATCTTGACAGGGCTTTGAAGTCATTGATAGAAATGGAGCTTTTAGAAAGCAGTTATATGTTACACAGATTCCTTTGTGTAACTTTGTGTGACTTGACAGGGCTTTGAAGTCATTGATAGAAATGGAGCTTTTAGAAAGCAGTTATATGTTACACAGATTCCTTTGTAGACTTGCTTCTGAATGGGTACTATCCTGTTGTTAGGTATGGATGGAAACTCTGGCTGGTAAAGGAAACCCTGATTGTCTTAACATAAAAGTAACATATAACAGAAAGTAAATCACATGAGAGAGCCTGACTGAACCTCCATTGCCAGTGGGCATGGCATTTGAAGCCACAGTGCATGAATACGTAATTGTCATATATAATACTCTTACATATTATATATTCATTACATACATGCACGGTACTTTCCAAGACAGTTACAAATTTCCACATGCATCAACTATCTAAAAACATAGAAATAGGTAAGCTTAGTAAGGGGATTTTCTTAAATTATATTTGAACAATCAACAGGAAAAGTAATCATGTAAAGTACGGCTCTGTTCTGGTATATATCTACAGTAAAATTCTATAAACAGTTGTCTCCAAAACATACCCGAATAAAATTAAAAAAGATAACACCCAGTGTCCTATATTTGTATATTTATGATCATTTCAAAAACAAACAAACAAACAAACAAACCAAAGAGCCCCACTCAGGTGCATATTTACATTCTTCAAACTGTAGCGGTGAAAAATAATTCTATTAAGTGCAGGACATTCCTAATGTTGCAGTAGTGACATTTTCCTTAAGTCTCCATGAACACATTGCTTTTGTCTTAACGGCGATGCATTCCATGACTCTGAGAGTTCTCATCCCCTTCATTTGCAGACCGCAGCACAGTCAGGATTAAAGAGCTCCTTGTACAATGGAGGAAACAGTGTATTCACTATGTCTGGATGAGATTGCTTAAAGACCTGCAGCTTCTCCCCATGCAAGTTGCAGACTGCCGTGATAGTTGGTATCTTGGCTATTAACTGCAGAACACAGAGACAGAGGGAGACAAAGAGGAAAGCTCATTAGTGGACTGTCTTGTGAATTAGTGTCTTTCGGGGACCCAGATAAAGGTAAATGGCTTTGAAAAAAGAGGTTTGGAAAGAAAGAAGGCTCACTTTCAGCTTCCCTTGAAAAGAAAACAAAAACACTCCTCATCCTATGGTCTAAAGAAAAAGAGAGAGGGAGAGAGAGAGAGAGAGAAAGCAAGCAAGGAAGGAGGGCTAAGGCTTTTGGTTCATTGTTCTGAATAAAATATGCACAGGAGGCCTTCTTGTTTAGTAAGTGTGAGTGGGTGCTGAGCAGGCAAGCCACCTGAATAGGAACCCTGCTTCCTCACAGTCAAGGACAGTGAGACAGTGTGACTCTGAGGCACTTTGTGGCTCAGTCTTTTCACTTGTAAAATGGGCTTGTTAATGCCATCTTTCTCTTTGAGTTATGTGGACTGAGTAAGGAAGTTGATATGAAAGTGTTCAGAAATCTGCAGGTGTGAAATGTGATTGTTAGCTAATAGTATTATTATCTGTCATTTCCTACAGACTTCTAGGACATGAATATTAGATTTCTATGCTTTGAAGGATGATAATATTAGGAAAGGAAAGGAACGCAGTGTGAAGTTATAACACACAGGCAGAGGACACTGTGGGGAGGGAGGGATGGGAATCACCAGGAGGGGAGCAGGAGAATTAGAGAGGGGAGCGGGCAGGAATAGGAGTGGAGTACATGCTGTGCACGCATGACGGTGTCATAATGAAGTTCAGTATTTTGTGCACTAATTACAAAATTTGTTTAACGTGTGACCCATGATTATCCACAATTCTTGGAAGTCAAACTCACTGAATTTATCTGCATCTCCCTAACCTTTTTTGACTCTGATCCAGAAAATGAGACTGTGTTTACTCAAGAAAGTCTGAGAGGTACTGGCTTTGAATGTTCGTAGGGAAGTATTTCACAAACAAGTGGAAGACTAGCCTGTAATCACCAGGCTTTGATTACATCTCCTCTTCCCTTCCTCCTGCTCCTCTTCCTCATTTTTCTTGTTTTAAAGATGGAACCAAACCCTTGTGCATGTCAGGTGGGTGCTCTATCATAGAGCTATATCGACAGTAACATGTATATGTATATAAAATCATTATATTATATAGAAACATAATTACATATTAAAGTATATTTCTTTGAGTTAAGTAAGAAAACAATGTTTGATGATAATTTAAATGACTCCCCATTGTGCTACATGCTACAAAAGTCTTAGGAGATGAACATTTCTGTTGCTAAACATGTTTACAATCATCCCTTAGTATCAAATTAACTTAAGCATATGTTCATACAACAATATTACTCTCAGGTTGAGATAAACTCTTCTACAGGGAACACTCTTACTAAAGGTAAGTATGGTAGTTCCCACAGCTGTTTAAAGATGGACTGCAAAGTGATGATGATAAAATATAGTTAAGCAAACCCATGTGATGACCTGGTGGTCATTCCTCTCTCACCAATAAGAACACATTTCAGCCTCTGAAGTGGAACAGCAAACAAATAATTACCTCATTGTTCTTCAAAATCAGAAATTTCCCCTCTTCTACTAACTTTCCTTTTAACCACTAATTACTCTGTAATGATTCTATAAGAAATGTAAAGCTAGTTTTAGGAATAGAGCTGCTGACACACTAAAGGGATCTAGACACATCTTTATGGTGTGAGGCTTCAAACATTCAAAGATGTTTGAGGCTTCTGGCTCTGAAACCTAGCCATCTCTGTTGCTGTCTGAAGAAAGGCTAGGAATGAAAGAAGGTAGAATCTTTGTAGAGCCTGTCAGACTTCAGACTGAGAATCAAGACTTTATCTTCAACAGTATGAACTACATTCCTTTCATTCAAGATACTTCACAAAAATTAACTGCATGTTTATTTTATATCAAGGCTTCACTAGACACTGGAATGCACAAAACTGTTATGGATTTTGCCCATAATGTACTTGCTAAGACAACTGGAGATTAAGTGACCGCACTGATTAACACAGAGAGAAAGGCTGTGGTCAGATTGATTGATGGGTGGTAGCCAAGAAGTGGTAGATATCTGGATGTCCTAACTTCTTGTAACAAGCCCTCCCTAAGATGTGGCAGCAAATCTGAGCAGGGAAGGAAGAGTGAGAATTGTGCAGGCACTTAGGCACAAAAAGACACTGGATCAGGGGCAAAGACACTGGATATGTAGTGTGCTGAAGGCAGCCTAGGTTTACTGAGGCAAGGGGAACATGGATTTGGGGTTGATGTTGGTGGAGAGATGTGCACATCCAGAATATGGCAGCTCTTATGGTCCATGTCAAAGCCTTTGGCTTTAAACATAAATAAAGATGACCAGAATACCATTCTGAAAGACTCACTTTGAGTCTGGGGTACAAAAGTGTCTTTTGTATATTTTTATATGTAAACAGTTTATAAGTGTCCACTTAACTGGAGCCCTTGGGAAATTATTGAAGCTTTCTTAACCAGCTGCTTCACACAGAAGGAAACTACAACAATTTAGAAACACTTCCTGCACATTACAGAGCTCCCTGAAATAGTTATTGAGTGGAGAGGAGCTCTGAAAGCCTCCTGTAATCATACGCTGTTGGACTGATGATCTGCAGTGCTGCCGAAAATTCCAGATGCAACTGTGGAATGACTGCCAGTCTTTAGTGTGATAAGAATCACTGGAGGGCTTCTTCAAAGTGCAGATTGCCAGGACCCTCTCCCAGGGGTTCAGTTCCAGTATGTCAGATTCCATGCTTGAAGTAAACATCCCCTGTGAACACTCATGTCACAAGCCAGTGGAATAGGCTCTGAGAAACAGTGCCTTGGAGGCTCAGATTTTGTGGGGAGAAAAAAAAAAACTTTTAAAAAATTGACAAGTAAATTCTGTATTCTCTCTGAATTGGTCCTATTCCCTGAGTGTCAAGTAGGTACTTTCAGGTGACAAAGACATTTTCATGTCTACAGAAGGAAGGCTGTATTTGCTCCTTCTATTATATGATGAGGGACAAGTTAGGAGTCCTTGGTGACATACAGGCATTACATAGAGAGAATAATGGATACAGGGCTTTAGAATCAGGCTATGTTGAAATCCTAGTACTGCCATTCATACAATCTTGGCCAAGTTGCTTAACTCAACTTCCTTATTAGTCAGATGTTGTGTTAGGGTTCCTGTGGCTGTGATAAAACACCATGACCAAAAGCATCTTGGGGAGGAAAGAGTTTATTTCAGCTTACAACTTATTAGTCCATCACTGAGGGCAGCCAGGTCAGGGACTCGGCAAAAACCTGGAGGCAGGAACTGAAGCAGAAGCCATGGAGGAGTGCTGCTTACTGGTTTGCTCCTAGTAGCTTGCTCAGCCTGCTTTCTTATACCATTTAGGACCACCTACTCCTTGTCAGATTGGCCCACCCACATCAATCATCAATCAAGAAAATGTTCCACGGGCTTGATCACAGGCCAATCTGGTGGGGACATTTTCTCAATTGAGGTTCCCACTTCCAAAATGACTCTAGTCTGTGTCAAGCTGACATAAAAACTAGCCAGCACAGATGGTGACTATAACATTTCCTGCTTCAGAGGGAGGCTGGGAGGATTTAATGAGTCAATACACATGGTTTTATAGTGCTGCCTGCCGTCTGCTGACGACACACATGATGGCTATTGTATTAGTTACTTTCTAGTCATTGCAACCAAAATACCAGAGAATGACGTCATGTGCAGGATTTTCATTTTGAGTCACAGCTTCTGAAGCATCAGGTCATCATGGCACTGAGGGAGTGAGAGTGGGACAGAGGGAATTTTATCAAGGCAGGCAGCTAGAAGTGTGTGTGTGTGTGTGTGTGTGTGTGTGTGTGTGTGTGTGTTATTAGAATGCAACTGGCTTTACTTATTTTGACTAGACCCTCAGCCCCTGGGCTCTTTATTCTTTGCAGGTCCCCTGTGATGGTGCAAATGTGAATTGCCCCCCAAAGGTTCAGATATTTGAAGGCTTAGTCTCTAGTTGGTAGAACTGTTTTGGGAAGGATTAGGAGGTGTGGTCTTGTTGGAAGAGGTGTGTCACTGGGGGTGGGCTTTATGCTTTTAAAAGCCCATGCCGGGTCCAGTTTCTTTCTTTGCCTCCAACTTTTGGATATAAATGTAAACTCTTAGTTACTGCTCTAGAGCCGTGACTGCCTAATTACTGCCAGACTAACTCCTTGCCATGATGGCCATGGACTCACCCTCTGAAGCTGTAAGCAAGCTCCCTGTTAAATGCTTTTTTAAAAATAAGTTGCCTTGGTCACTGTGTCTGTTAATAGCAATAGAAAAGTAACTAAGACATCTCCAGCACATCAGGATGGATATTTCTCCCTCAGTTAGCCCTCTCTGGAAGTGCCCTCACAGACATAGTGTGGTGATTCTTAATCCAGTCGAGTAGACAATGAAAGCTAAGCTGTGATGCTTTCAGTTCCATATAGCACTTCCTTCAAGGAGTGAAAGGGGCAAGGCCATGCTCCTCAGACATAGATATGAGCGGCAGAGACCCAAAATCCAAGTCTGAACACACTGCATATTATTTCATGGGAAAATTAGCCATTTGCTTTTGTTGGAATGAGTGTGCAAAATCATGGTTATTTTTCATTTTCTTGTGGCAATAAAATTGTTCATGGACTGATTATAGACTAGATCCCAGTGCCATGGTTCTTCCAGCCTTTGCTGCTTCTGTTATGGATGGACCATCTGGGAAACTGAAAGCACATGAGCAGGACTGGATCCTTGATGGCTTCTCATTTGAGTAGAGGTAGGGAACTGTATGTCTCGTTTTGGAGAAAGTTGACTCTTTTCCTCTTTCTGCTAAAAATTCAGGTCTCGGTAGAGCCTAGCTCATATTCAGTTCTGTCTCTTGTATGGGATTCAAATCCATTTTCTATTGTTCGTCTGTAGAATGGGCCGACTAGCTAACAAACACGGGCAGCAAACAACACTGAGAA